GAAGATCCTTTCAGTTTTGCAGCCACGCTATAGCAAAGAGGTTGGGGTGTAATGACGAAGAAGAGAGATAACTCATCGTAATCAGCTAATAAAACAGTTGAAACATCGGTATTTTCCCCTTAGAGTGCTGAGGTAATTTTATAATACATTGACATAATATGTAACTAATTCGTGTGAATGGGAGAGCTATCTATTCTCAAGAAATCGCTGTGAAGTGTCTCTGCGTCTCTTCGTTGACACACAACACAAAATTAATTCTTATAGAGGTCAGCACTTCTACTAAGTAGACTTTGTATTGTTTTCCAGTTTTTTGGGGTTTTTGTGTTCTTTTTGGGTCTTAATAGTCTTATTATCCTCATATATCATACATTATTAACCTCTTACCTGAACTCATCTTAAAAGTATGGTTGGTACATTATGTAATGCATGTATTTGCTTGTAGCTTAAAATGTATGTTTTTAAAAGGAAATTACTAATTTATTCATATTCAATACGAATATTAAAAAATAAGAAATAATTGAAGTAAACAAAAAAAATAAATAATAAGATGGTACCAATGAATAAAGAAAGAAAGGAAGGAAGGAAGAACAAAAAAAAAAATGGAACACAGTCCAATCAATCAATAAATGAGAGTATAAATAAATGGAAGTATAAATGAATAAATGAATAACTCCACTGAAAGAATAAATACACTGAAGAGAAACCCCACCCAGAACACAGCACTACAAACACACCAACTATGTTTCTTCCGAGAGGATAGCAGTGGACTTTACATGGGCGATTCTGGGTTCCCCTCGGAAACCTTGTAGTGGTTGGGCCTCACAGCTCCTGGCACGCCCTCTTCTGGCAGCTCCCAGTTGTCCACGTCATCGAACAGGCTGTCCTCCTTAGGGGCGTCCCAGATGGGCAGCTTCATGATGAAGCCTGGGGTTTGGAGAAAAAAAACCCCTTTAAAAATCCAATCCCTTTCGTTTTATATATATATAAATTTGTATTTAGTTTTGTTATGTTTTTCCGGGGTTGAGAT